ACGCGACGCTCATACGACCGCGTGGCGACTGGAACTAGTTCGGACCCGCGCGCGTCGCGTAGCCACGCCGCTCCACCAGCGACAAGTCGAGTAAGCCCGGCGCACGGGTGCTTACGACGGGCGGGGGGGGATGCACAGGGTCATCGGGCGAACGGGACGAGGCGAGGAAGGGAGGGTGTGCGAGCGGGTGAGCGGACCGGGCCCCTACGGGGCAGGGACCGTCCACGCGCCGCTCGCTCTTGGGCCGGCGCGGGGCGTGTGCGCGCCGCTTAGTAGCCGCCGTAGCCGCCGCCGTAGCCGCCGTAGCCGCCGCCGTAGCCGCCGTAGCCGCCGCCGTAGCCGCCGCCGCGGCCGTAGCCGCCGCCGTAGCCGCCGCCGTAGCCGCCGTAGCTGCGGCCGTAGCCGCCGCCGCCGCCGCCGCCGCCGTAGCCGACCATGCGGTTCATGCCGTAGCCGCCGCCGTAGCCGCCGCGGCTCATGCCGTAACCGCCGTAGCCGCCGCCGTAGCCGCCGCCGCCGTAGCCGACCATGCGGCTCATGCCGTAGCCGCCACCCTGGTTCATGCCGTAGCCGCCGTAGCCGCCGCCGTAGCCGCCGCCGGAGCCGCCGCCGTAGCCGCCGCCATACCCGCCGCCGTAGCCGCCGCCGTAGCCGCCGCCGTAGCCGCTGCGGCTGTACTGGCTGTTCGTCCGGCCGCCGTAGTTGGAGTAGTACGGGGAGTCGCCGTCGATCGCGACGTTGTTCATGCGCTCGCGGGCCGTGAAGCCGTCCTTGATGCTCTCCCGCGCGGCCAGGGCCGGGGGCACATCGTAGCCGTAGCCGTAGTTCAGCTTCGTCGTCGACGGAGCCTCGCTCTGCGTCTTCGCGGGGCTGAAGGCGGCGGTCTTGGGCATCTTGTTCGCCGGAGCGAAGGCATCGGAGGTCGCCGCGAGGGCGAGGAGTGCGGAGACGGAGCGCATGGTGGTTGCGTTGTTGCGCGAAGCGGTTCTGGACGAGGTGATGAGCTCGACGAAGTCTCGAACGCACTGGCACGACTGCGACT